CCGACTTCAGACAAATGATTATCCAACATATTTTTAAAAACTTCCAGCGTTGGAGAATTCACAACTTCTGGAGGCAAGTTGTTCCATTGATTAATTGTTCTAACTGCCAGGAAATTTATCTTTCATTCTAGGTTGTCGCTCTCCTTGATTAGTTTCCATTCATTATTTCTTGCCTTGCCATCAGATGCCTTAGAGAATAGCTTGACCCCCTCTTCTTGGGGGCAGCCCCTCAAATACTGGAAGACTGCTATCCTGTCTCCCCTAGTCCTTCTTTTCATTAAACTAGACATACCCAATTCCAGCATACCCAATTCTTTATGTGTTTTAGCCTCCAGTCCCCTAATTTGGGACATCCTGCTTAGGCAAGGTATTTATTCTTGGAGCTGAGAGCTAACCAACTTTTTTTTATTTTTTTTTGCTCTAGCTACAATCAGATAATTATTTCCTCCTCTTGTCGTATAGCTGCTGCTTGGTGGTAAGCGACTGGTCATTAAGTTGAGGACTGCTTCTGTAGAGCCAACTCATTTGTGGGTTCAGGATTCAACCTTGCTTTTTCAGACCCACCCAGAAAGTCAAGCAATGCTTACATGCCTCTCACCTGTCGGAATCAAGGGCCACCAGGGTTTCGTCTGAGGTCTGGCTGAGCGCAGTGTAGCCCTTGTTGAATTTCACCGTCCTGGTAAAAAGAAGACGACACTACCATGAAGCTACCAGGCGCAGTGGAGGTGGAAGGGGAGAGTGCAGGGCCTGATCAGAAGGCCGAAGCAGATGTCCACCTAGATCAAGCTAAATTTATTAACACTAGGGAATTCCTGGAAACTTGGCATTCAGACAAAAATGAGGCATCAACAGATCCATAGAGATAAACCACACTTACACGCCATTCAAGAGAGACACTAAAAAAAGCTAAACAACAACAAAAAAAAGGAAACAAAAAGACCAGAACACACCCTCTCCAGCAGTTTACACCCAGATAAGCAGGGATAAACACCAGGCAAATGTCTCACTTAACCACAGAATTCTATTCTATTCTATTCTATTCTATTCTATTCTATTCTATTCTATTCTATTCTATTCTAATCTAGTCTATTCTAGTCTATTTTCTATTCTATTCTATCCTTATTGTACCCTATGACTATCATTCAGTGTTGTACTTGATGATTCCTGACTCTTGATGAATGTATCTTTTCTTTTATGTACACTAAGAGCATTTGCACCAAGACAAATTCCTTGTGTGTCTAATCACACTTGGCCAAGAAAGAATTCTATTCTATTCTATTCTATTCAAGAAAAGGACATAAAAAACTGACCTCAAGCCTCCTGGTTTGGGCTGTTGCCGGACGGCTCCTGAAAGCACCCCCTTCTTCCGCAGCATTGCCTTTGCCATCTCGCGATGTTTTTCTTTGATACCAAAAAACAAACAAACAGGAAGAAAAATTCAGCAACTGGCTCTGCTCTTTGGGCTTCTGTAAATAACCCAATTTTTACTGTGGCTGCTTGTAGCAGCATCTCACGCTTTGGCCAGAAAAAAACAGCCTTTTGGTTCTAAGTTTGGTTCACTTAACGGTCACCATGGGCGATCCACGTTATGACCACCATGACTTATGACCTTAAATGGTGCGGCCTCCATTACAGTCGTTAAGGACTTTGTATAAACAGCACATTTCTGGTGGTATTGGAGAAAAGCTGCGTGTTCTTTTACTTACGTAGCTTATCCTGAATAGAAGACGGTTTGTTCATAATGTAGGGACCTCTTTTCTCTACCGGGGGGTCTCGGCACATCCTTCGTTTGTCCCATTGCCCCTGAAAAAGGAAAGTGGGGAGTGAGAAGTTGAAAGAGCCGTTGCGTTGGACCTAAAAATGCAAATGGTCCATAAAATTAAACATATGTTTATTTTATTGGCCCTTCCAACAAAACCGGTGTCGAAACATTTAAAAACATGCTGTGCAGCCGTGTGTTGCTGTATTTATACGATGCAAGGTGCATGGAAGGGTTAACACACACACACAGATTAGTATGGGGCCCCAATGCTTGCGGGGGGGCCCCCTGCCTTAAGACAGCCCTGGGGGGGGAGGGAGGCTGAAAAGCAGAGCCCAACACTGAGCCCCCAACCCCCACCTCCCTGCCCACTTTCCAAACGCCAGTCTTGAGAGGTGGGATGATGGGGAGGGGGATTAGGGTCGGGTATAGAGTTTACTCTCCCCCTCCTGGGCCAGGCTGGGAAAGCCTGGATCTCCCTCCTCGTCTTTGACATAACTTGGCCCGTTGTGAATGGAGCCTCCCCAGCCAGCAGCAGTCTACACCCCCCACTCTGTCTCCTCCAATAGGAAGACCAGAAGAAGAGGAAGGGGTGGGGTTTTTTGGGGGGGGTCTTCCCAGAGGCATGAAGGCCCGAACTCAAAGACCCCACCACAACCCCCAGGCCGCCGCTCTTTTTCCCGGCCTCACCAGGTCGCCGCTGGGCCCGAGGGGCGGCCCGGCCTCCTTCCCCGCCCGCGGCGGCTCCTCTTCGCCTCCGTCTCCTGTCGCCATCGCCACTTCTGCGGGAGAGGGTTCCGCCCCCCGCCCACCCCGAAGCCACGCCTACCCCCCCCCCGCCTCCGCCCGTCTTCGCGCCGCTCCGCCAATAAGAAAACGCGACGGGGCCGGTCCCTTGTTCAAAATTAGCATCCGCCTCTCTCCCGGATTGGTCGGTTCTTCCGTTAAAGCCCCGCCCTCGCTCTCTCTTTCTCCCACTTTCTGGCGGGCAACGCCCTATGGGCGGGTTAAAGAGACAGAGAGAGTGACCAATGGGAGGCGGGCCCTTGTTTTGTTTGTTTTTGGGAAGAGCAGGGGAGGAATTAGAAGGGGCGCTCTAGGATGCTGGAGGACTTGCGCTCCGTGGTGCCTGTCCATTGCCCTGCGATTGCTGAAAATGTTGCTGAACGGACCAGCAGGAAAAAAAAACCAAAAACCCTCCAAGTATAATTTTATCTCATTGGTCTGAAAAAAGGGTTTTCTCCAGCCTGCTCCAGATGGACTACAACTCCCATCACCCATCACCTATTTTTGTTCATTTCAATGTAAACGTTTTGCTTTATGTGGTGGTTTTATTTATTATTTATTTATTGAATTGATATTGCTGCCTTATTCGCCCATGGCGACCCGAGGTGGCTTACAGAATGTAAAATTGTATTTAAAACAAAAAAAAACACAATAAAAACTAACAAAAGGAACCTAATTAATAAAGTACAATAGAACAAAATCTGGAAAAATAAATAAATCACCTCCCCCCCCCCAAATTCCCACCCCATCCCGCTGCTCCCAAGGACAGCAGATCACACCAGCCATTTGACGGGCTCCAACCCTCTCTGGGTTCCCCAGGCCCGCTGGCAGAACCAGGTCTTCTTCAGTGCCTTCCGGAAGAGTGCCAGAGAGGAGGCCATTCTAATCTCTGGGGGAAATGATGTTCCAGAGAGAGGGAGCCACCACGGAGGAGGCCCCACCAGGTGTATCTCCCTCAGGGGTGGGACCCACAGCATTCCCTGCCTCACTGCTCTGATGGGTCAGGTAGATATGACTGGCAAGAGGTGGTCATCCCTCAGATCACCTGGTTCCCAAGCCATGAAGGGCTCTAAAGGTGACAACCAGCACCTTGAATTGCACCCGGAAGCAAATCGGCAGCCAACGCGGCTCCTGCAGGAGAGGTGACACATGTGCACACCGGGATCTGCATCAAACCATGCGGGCCGCTGCATTTTGCACCAACGGGAGCTTCCAGATGCTCTTCAAGGGCAGCCCAATGCAGAGCGTGTTGCAATAATCAAGACGGGAAGTGACTAAGGCATGAGGGACTGCGAGTAGGGACCGCTGGTCCAGGAAAGGGTGTAGCTAGTGCACAACCTGCAGTTGCGCAAAGGCCCTCCTGGCCACGACCGCCACCTGCCCTTCGAGGAGTTATGAGCCCAGGGAAGCCCCTAGATTATGCACAGCGTCTCTTGGGGGTAGTGCCACCCGATCCAAGAACAAAGGTGGTAATTCTCCCTGAGCCAACAAACCCCAAACCCAGAGCCACTTGGTCTTGCAAGGGTTTAGTTTCAACCTGTTGCTCCCTATCCAGCCCCTAACAGCCTTCAGGCACTACGAGAGGGAGGACACAGCAACATGTAACTCATCACAGGCCGAGTCATACGGCTGAGTATCATCAGCACATTGGTGATGTGGATGGATGACCTCACCCAGCGGCTTCATATAAATGTTGAACAGGAGTGGAGAGAGTACCAAGCCCTGACGAACCCCTTCTTATAAATTATAAATTTATACCTTGTTGTAAATTACATAACATTGTTTGATGAGATATAAATTTAACTTATATATATATACATTTAATAAATAGTGTGGCAAGAGATTTGATTAACCTATTTCTATGAAGGGAAAGCTGTGAAGGCGTGTAAGGACAAAGCAACATGGAGCAATTCTTAGCCATTATACGAAGAGTACGTAAACTGAATTTATAATGTATGGGCTGCTTTTCCTACACTTTCTCATCTTTCCTGGGATACAATTGTTCACATCAAGATGTAATGGATCTGTATGTTTATCCTATCAAAATAATGTTCATTATTTACCACTATGAATTATTATTGTTATATCTGTTTTCTTATTTTATGTAAGTTTCCATTTTAGTATATACTCAGTGATATAAGAAAAAGTCATTGGATCAAAGGAAATTACAGCCAGCAAATTAACAGATCTAATGTGGAGATTTGAGATTTTTCTTTTTATATAGTATATGCTAAGATTTGTGTAAGTGGCTGGAGTCAATCAAGCTTCTTGTCCAATATATACTCCATGAAAGCAATATGATCTTCTTAACATGAATTAATACTTATGAAATTTTAATTTCATAATTGGTTTAGCATGTTAAAATGCTGGATTCTTTCATTTTTTGAAATCTGAAGAACTACTTTTTGTGCAGAAATGTACGGAATTCAATAATCCATAATCACATAAACACTAGTCAATTCAAACCATTTCCTCTTTATTAGGTCAACTTTACAATACATATCCAGGACTCAATAAAAGGAAGCAGTGATTTCAAATAAGTAATTATAATGTCTATAGCCAGGTAATTGTTGTACAGTCACAGAACCTTAACAGTATACTCATGGGAAGTCCATCTGGAAAAGAACAGATAGTTGGAATTAACTTGGACATATTCTTTTCAAGGTCTCTATCTCTTCACAAGCCTCTTGAGGAGGGAGTGGATAGAAAGGTTAAGAAAAGATGTTCCAACTTCAACCCTAGCTGCAGATGAATACGTGGTTGCCGAGAGCAATTTAAGGAACTACTTGTAGCATTTAATTGCCACTTGTCTACCCTTCGGATGCTTTGTCTAACGCCCAGGTTGCTACTTGTATACAAAAGCACCTAATTTCTGTCGGGCTCCGTGATCTTTTTACATTTTAAAAAAATAAATCTGAGAGAAATTGATGTAGAAAAGACAAGCAGAGATTGTAGGCAGGAGAGGGAAGGATGGAGGAAGAGAGATAGAAAGGGTGGCGTAGCATTCAAATTTACTGAGGCTTTGCAAATATGTAATCACCTTGACATCACAACCATTTTATGAATGGGGAAGCCCCAATCCATTTTGCGGGAGTGCCTTCAATGCATTCTCAAAACACCAAATGTACCCCACAAACAATAAGAGGTTAAGAGACCCCTGGTCTCCTCTTGTCCTGTAACATGGGACTTTTTCCTGCATTTCCATTACACGTGCTTCCAACTACACATGCAGTTTCCATAGTTTTCCTTTAGCATAAATTTGCTTGTGTTAATTTCTCTAATTTTGCTTTGTAGGCAAAATAGTTTCACTAGTGTTCTCTCTTCCTCCCTCCTTCCCTCTCTGTGTATCAGGGAAAATAAATGGTTAATATGAGCAAATAGTGACTTAAGAAGTTAGCAGGATTATATCTGAATGCTATTTAGAAATACAGAGCCTAATTTATTTTTTGTATTTGAGGGATGTCTGCTGCATTTTAAACTAGTGGCCCCCCAAAAAAGTAAATTACAAGTAAAGTGAAGTACATGAGGTATCTTTTCATTTTTAATATACTTTAAAACTCACAGGTATTAGAGCCCAAGTATTCTACAGAAAATGGATTCCAATTATTTAGAACATATCACTTAGTCTACATTTTCTGCAGAGACAGCAATGTTTTTCTCTACCTTATCAAAATGGTAGACAAGTGTATTTTCTACATTTTAGAAGCCTTTGTTAATTTTAAACACCAAACACAATATTGAAGAACATGCATACAAAGCAAAAATTAAAGATATGTTTTCTTACTGTTAAGTTTACACTTTGTCCATTTCAAGTTCTTCTGGAGTTGAAATGCCCAATTCATTCAAAGTTGGTCTAAGTTCCTGGATAACGTATGGATATATATCCCTGTATCTGCCTGATTTATACTAATTCAAAGAGAACACAAGACTTCAGAACTTGAAAAGTAGATTTGGCAAGACAAGCACACTTAAGCCCAGGGGCTGAACTTTTCTATGGCCCCGAGTTTATCCAAGAAATATGCATAACTCACAAACAACAAACATTTGGATTGCTAGCAAGCTGCAATTATTGTCACTCATACGTGGTTTCCCTGAAGTCATTATTTCTGACCGCTGACCTTATTTCTGAAAAGTTCATGTCCAGAGAAGCTGTAACACTTAGGTGAAGCATAAGCTTGTTACATTCAGTGTCTTGAATTCTCTTTTAAATTGATATTATTTTTATAGATAACTCAAGGCAATGAACATGCATAATACCCCTTCCTCCTCTTCCCCAGAACAACAATCCTGGCCCAAGGTCACCTAGCTAGCTTTCATGCCTAAGGTGAGACTAGAACCCACCGTCTCCTGGTTTTTAGCCTGGTGCCTTAACTACTAGACCAAACTGGCTCTCTTGGCACTGGATGGGCGTTAATGAACTAGGAGGAGCAGTCTGCCCATGTAGAAGTAGACACTTTATCCCCTACCTATATTCTCTCTGAGATCAAGTCACTGAATATAAACCATCTGGCCTACTAGGCCACTGCTTCATGTCTGATTCTTCTGCCTCTCCCACTCAAGATCATTTCTGCCTGTGGTGAATGGTTCATTATAAGGGCCACTTTAAGCCCATGTAAGGATTGTGTGTGTGTGTGTATGTGGGAATCTCAGAAGTGTGTTAGTGAATGCCACTGAGGTGTATAAGGGAACAATTCACCACCATGCTTTATATTGCAAACAGAAGGATGCCTTCACTCACCTTTACCATTTCCAAGATGCGGATTGTGGTAGCAAAGTCATTTAGCCGCCTGCATGCCCTCAAAGCCGCATCAATAATTTTTGGTTCGGGAACCATGTCTGCATCAACCAAGGTGTTAATGCCTGTCAAAAGAAACGAGCGTAGAAGGAGAGCGCTGCATTTATTCTAGTCCTCCCCTTCTCGTGTTTGTGATGCATTTAACAAAATCATAACATAAAATTTAATTATTTTCTCCCTCTGTTTATTCTATCATCTCAGATTTTGCTCTGGAACATATAAGGTGTAGTAATTTTGCTTATATCCAGATACAAAATCTAAGACAAAATTTCAGGGTTAAAAGCTTAATTCTCTAACATTTACTTCAATCTCAAAGTCTAATACTGTTAACCGTAATGTATTATAGTTAGTTTTGCTGGACCAATCTAGCTGTTCAAAGTTGGGGGGGGAACGGGACTCAAGATCTTTGATTTTTACTCTGGGATCATTGTGTTTGCTCCAAGAAAGGGGCCTATATAATTCCTATTGGGTTGCACAAATCAATCAAATCTTTAGAAAATACAATTTCTCGAATGCCGCCCCCACTGATGCTTCCTGTGTGTGTTACCTTTCCTGAGTTCCCAGTCATCAATATCAGGTTTGTTGAAGAACATCACCCAACGAGCATCCAGTTCTTCATCTGTGATCTCTGGTTTGTGACCATAGCAACGCAGAGGTAGTGCTGGTTTTTGGAACAAAAATGGGAAGGAGCAGAAGACAAAGTGTGAAACATTCAAGGAGGAAGCTATAACACTACAAGGAAAGGTAGTCCTGGAGTTATGACCATAATGAATCTGCCCATAATGTTAACATGATTGTAACAGTGATGGACATAAAATGAACATTGCAGACTTTGGAATTTTTCCACGGAGAGAATATTTATTTCAATGTTCTTAAATAATTCAACTCCGCAAAACAATTAAATACCATAGGCATAAAAGATACTGGGGACATTTAACACTGAATTACTCCAGTAGCTTAATCATTCAAGGCACAGGAAGAAAATACTAACACGAGAAGAGTCTCAGAGTCTGTATTATATTATTAATAATATAGGAGAAAATTATGTTCAAGTTTGTGGTCTTGATTCTGTGGAACACACGACCACTGGAGGCGAGACCTTCTTTCATCCTTTTGGCCTTCTGGAAGGATAGTAAAGCTTGGGTTTGCCCTCTGGTTGGTGGCTCAAGGGGGGATGCTCACTGCTGGGGGTGGCCGAGGGGTTAAGAAGACTATCCATCTCTTGGCTTTTGACTTCTGCATAGTTTTAATTTTTTAACTGCTTTTATTTATTTCTCTTTTTATGGTCTGTAAGCTACCCAAAGTAGCCTTATCAGGGAGATGGGTGGCATATAAATTTGATAAATGAGGAAGCTGGGAAATTATTTGATTTTTTGGAATTTCACTTCACTAATCTTAGTGTTGCAATCTTTTAAGAAGTAAATGAGCAAACCTTGTATAATATTGACTAATGCTAATACACTGAAGATGGTATTTAATTTTGTTATACGAGGTGCAATGACAATAAAGTAAACTAACCTAACCTAAATTAATTCTTATTTCCACGGTTATAAAAATGTCTGGTAACAAATTCTTATTAAAAGATGCATGCCTTCATAAGCACATATAAACTGTGCTAAACGATTGTAAAACCTTAAATAATTAACATGCAGTTTCATTTCTCTCATCTGCCCAATTCTACCAACACTGAGTAATTAAACTTTCAACATCTGTTAAGTAAATGGGCCTTTGGAGGTATTAAAATATTATCAATGTAATATAGCAACTGTGAAAATAATATCTTATGTGTCCTGATTATTTATTTAGCATATGCCAATGTGCCTTGATGCTAGGGAGGTAAAGAACTTTAAGGCTCAGCTGTGTGAAATAAAATCTTGCATGCAGCAAATAGGAGTGACATATTCTTGAGGCAGCCTCCAACACCTATTCCTACTCTGAAATAGGAAAAAGCTGAAAAGGAATCTAAACCAACACAAGGCTGTGGACCTAAAGGTTCAAAGTCCATGAGGTGAGAGGAAGGCAGGGAGGCTATAACCAACAGGCTCTTCAACTAAAGCTTGTTGTTAATAAAAGGGAGAGTAAGACACAAAGGAATGTCTTTTCAACTTCCTTAAAGTTATTAAGCTTTTGTTGAGTTATACATAATTTCTGGGTGTAGCCTATTAAGAATAGAAGCTATACCTTGAATTTTAAATAATGTCATTTAATAGATATAAATCAGAACATATGTCACTGACAATCTCATTTAAGGAAAGTGAAAGGCACCGCATATGGTTTTCTTCAAACATGACA